TCTTTCTCATTTTCTCATAAATTTTCAGCAATATTTTTCTTTCAACATATATTCATCATTTCTCCCATTTTTTCATTTTTTCAATTTCCATACAATTTTTTTGGAATCATGAACTGTCTTCGTTTTCTTTTTTCATAGAAGACCAACGACAAATTAGCAATGAAGATACAACCGCCTCACTCTCAATCATCTTAACAAAAGTAAGTGATCTCCCCCACACTTATTCTTCACAATATCACGCTGATTACAAGAATAATTTAAAATTTTCTCCACTAGTTATTCAGCTGGGTGAAGGCATTATTTTTAGATATAAAAGGCTTGTAATTTGGTTCAAAGTAAAGAAAAGAATGGCCATAAAGCTCAAAGTGGTTAACAAGGGGAAATAAATCATAGGACAAACCGATTATTTGGCTAGTGAGGCTCAAGATCAAATAATGGCCTTAATCACACTTGAATCATGCATGGTCAAATTAGCTTTAAAAGAGAATCAAGGCAAGTTCTAGAGAAACAAAATTATGGAAGAAAGCGCACAATAGAAAGAAAATAAGACCGAAGTGTCGGTCAATGGCTCAAAATCTCACAGGTTTATTGCTTACTTAATATAGTCACTACATATCAAACAGGAAATGCTAACAAACTAATCACAATTTGCCAAACTATTTATTCAATCTTGTTATGAATTTCAAGAAAGAAAAAATATAATAATTTTTCTTTTTCAAAATAATACTTATTTTGCATAAAGTACTAGTAAAATATTTTTGAAAATTCTAAAATAAGTAAACCAATAATAATAATTTTTTTTATTTTTTTTGACATAAGCAAACAAACAATAAAACTAAATTAAGTAAACAAATAATAAAACTAAATCTCCTCCCCCACACTTATTATCAACATTGTCCCCAATGTTGAATAAAAACATGCAGAAAAAGGGTTATTGAATGAGAATAGGGAATACAAAAATAAAAATAATAATAATAAAAAAAAAAAGGAACAAGCACACCTTAGGTTACCTCCCAAGCAGCGCCTTTGTTTACCGTCGTTGGCTCGACTTATGATATTTCTTTAAATTTCCACCATCTTTTGGAGTACCTTCGATGATTACGATTATTCAAAGAAATACCCTTCATGCAGATTAGTACTCAAAGATGATTTATTATTTTTTTCATTAGAAGCAATTTCATCAAATGTAACAAACTTCAAAGAATCAACAAAAATTGCAAAATTATCATCACTAGGGGATTTCATGGTATCATAAATATTAAAATTCACAAATTTACCATTAAACTCCATAGTAAGCATGCCACTATGAATATCAATTTTAGTTCTTGCAGTTTTTAAGAATGGTCTTCCTAGCAAAATATGAGAAATTTTATTATATTGTCCATATCAAGCACATAAAAATCAGCAAGAAAAACCAAGTTATTAACTTTAACAAGCAAATCCTCAACCACACCCCTAGGATATGTAGTAGATCCATCAGCCAATTGAATTACTATACTAGATTTATTCAGGGATCCAAGATTTAAAGATTTATAAACAGAATATGGCATGACATTAATAGAAGCTCCTAAATCTAACATAGCAAATTTTCAAGTTTCACACCACTTATCATGCACGGAATAGTAAACATACCCGGATCCTTGCACTTTTCAGGAAGATGGCTTTGATTAGCCATAGAGACATTCTCTTGCACTTTCACGTCCTCAATTCTTTCATTATTTTGTTTCTTTTTCATAGTGCGTACCTCTTTTAGAAAATTTGCATAGCGAGGTACTTTTTCCAAAGAATCTAAAAATGGTTTATTAGCCTCACATTCACGAAATGCCTCATAAAGATCATTATTTGATTTTCCTCTATTGGTTCTAAAAGAGCTTGAGGAAATGGGGGTACTGGTTCATAATCAGGAAAAGAAGAAAGCTTACCTTGGGACTTCTCTTTATGTTTGGCAATGTTACATGTACTTATTTCCTTGTCTAAATCAACATTCTTTTCCAGCGACATACTTCTCACAGTAATTGCACTTACATTCTCTTTAGGATTAACAACCGTTTGAGAGGGTAATGTGCCAGAACTCTGTGCTTCCAACCGACTTACCGAAGTTGCTAGTTTGCCCATTTGTCTTTCCAAGTTTTGAATTCTAGCATTTGTCTCTTGAATACTAGCTCCTGTCTCTTGTTGGAATAGTTGTGTTTCTTGTTGAAACTGCAAAGTGTTAGTAGCAAGAGATTTAACAATATCTTTTAGATTCATACCTGAGCTAGAGCTTTGGGCTGGCTGTTGTCTTGAAGGAAATGGTTGTCTATACTGTTGAAAATTAGAACGATTCTGAACAAACTGGCTCCCTTGTCAGTTCCCATAGCTAAGGTTTGGGTGATCCCTCCATCCAGGATTATATGTATTGGAAAATGGATTATACTTACCTTGAGGTTGTCCAGGAAAACCTCCAGCCATGTTGACTTGTTCAATAGGTTCTTCTTGAAGAGTCGGACACACATCAGTTTGGTGTCCAACTACCGAGCAAATTCCACATGCTTTTACAGTTTGCATAACGTACAAGAGTAGTTAAACCAGAAATTTGTTGTTCAATAGCAGAAATATTTACCTCATTCACTTGCTTAGACGGTTGGACAAGTCTATTGCCAAACTGTTGAAAATTTGCAGCCATGTTTGCAATTAGAGTTCTTGCATCGTCTGGTGTCTTGTCAACTAAAGCACCACCGCTTGCGGCATCAATCATGCTTCTATCCATTGGAAAAAGTCCTTCATAAAAGTATTGAATGAGTAATTGATCACAAATTTGATGGTGTGGGCAACTTGCACATAGTTTCTTGAAACGCTCCCAATATTCATACAGGGACTCTCCATTGTTTTGCCTTATACCACATATTTCCTTTCTAATGTTGGCCGCCCTCGAAGCTGAGAAATATTTTTCAAGGAACGCTGTCTTCAGGTTATTCCATGTGGTGATGCTCCAGAAGGTAGATAGTATAGCCAATCCTTCGCTGAATCTTTCAACGAAAAGGGAAAGGCTCTCAACTTGATTTGTTCTTCAGTAACCCCTGTGGGTTTCATACTCGAACACACCACATGGAATTCCTTTAAGTGTTTGTGCGCATCTTCACCTGCAAGTTCATGAAAAGAAGGCAAAAGATGAATTAATCCAGACTTTAACTCAAATTGTACATTGGCATCTAGAGCGAGAAAAGTGATGCATAAAAGTTGTTGATCTAAATTCGGAGCTCCAAGCTCTTTTAAAGTCCGATTTTGAGCCATGGGTTCTTCTTCTAAATCAGAATTGGCGGAATCGGTAGCCAGATCGCTAGACTCCAATTTCCTCAAAGCTTGATTCCTCCACCTGCGTATAGTTCTTTCAATTTCTGGATCGTATGGCAAGATTTCTCGATTAGCAGATCGAGTTATAGGCATAAACCACGAAAGAGATTGCAGTAATTATGTAAAAGTAACGAAAGAAAAGATTTTTTTTTAAAATTTTTTGGGGACAAATGAAAAGAAACAAACAAACAAATAAAGAAATAAATAATTAAATAAACACAAAATAAGCTAGACAATCTCCCCGGCAACGGCGTCAAAATTTGGTGAGCTGTCGTAGGCTCCCAAATTAAAACCTTACAAACGTAGTAGCGGGAGTAAGGATCGATCCCACGAGTAGTAACTAGTTTAAAGTATGTGCTCAAAGAAATAATAGGGGGTTTGAAATATAACGAGAATAAAGATTAAATAAAAGACAATTTAAATAAACAAGAGATTAAATAAATCGAATAAAGCAATAAAAATAATATATTGAAAGCACTTATAATAGAAAACCTTGGTTATTAAACATCCACTACCGGAATTTAACACTGATCATTGATTCAAAAGGTAATTAATATGCAATTGAATATTTGTCGTGAAATTATTTCATTTCCGTTTTCCCTTAGTTGTAGGTAATTAAAGCACACACGGTTTAATTACCCCTAACTACTAAATAATCTAAGACAAACGAACGTTATAGATTTAATTTAATAGTAGCAATAGGAACTAGGAAAACCGACAAACTAAATAACACTAGCACAAGCGGTTGCATTTAATTTAAGAAAATATTCTATCCGAGACCAATTATCACTAAGCCGTCAATAATTAACCTCAGTTGCTACTGAATATTAGAGTAATTTGTAGCACAACAGTATCTAATATAGCAAATAATTATATCAAATAACTTAGAAGAATATTTAATACTCAAATGCATAAAAATTATATACCAAAATAAATAAATAATCTTACAACATAATCAATTTCGGGGCTTCAATTCACTAAACCAAGCTAAAAAAATTAGCCACAAATGAACATTTATAACAGCTTTAAAAGATAATCGAGAGAAAAATAATGAACAATTTACAATAAAAAACTTATAATATTTATATATTTTTCCAATCATTTTTCACCACCCAATTTTCCTATTTTTTAGCCTCTCGTCTGAATCCATCCGCCACAAGCCACGAAGTCTTCCGCCATTTGCTTGCACGCATGAATTGAAACATTCAATTCATTTTGCATTTCTGTTGGACCATTTATATATTAATAATATATATATATATATATATATATATATATATATATATATATATATATTACGTACTGTATACGAAATATATATAATACATAATATATAATATATATAGAATAAATATTACGTACTAGTATTAATATATATGCATTATAAATATATATATATATATATATATATATATATATATATATATATATTGGTAAAAGTTCAGGTGTGAACTTCTAGACTTTTAGTAATGTGTGCACGTGTGCACTCATACTGATCTGATTGTGTTGATCTATGGGTGCAAATTAGAGTGCACCCGCACCCTCACCCGGTGCACCCCGCCACATTCACCAAATGTTAGTGGCGCATTGTTTTGGGGGGGGGGGGGGGGGGGGGGGGGGGGGGGGGGTGAATTTGTAATTTGGCTGGGGTTGTGTGTTTCGTTTCCACCAGTTGGCGGTACATTCCGAGCAGCTCTGTGGAGGCGTCGTTCTCGCGAGGTGGGAGGTGCGATACGCGAATGGCTCGGTCTGGTGGCAACCGCCGTTCGAGGAGGGGTAGGTCCCGGCCTTTGTTCTCTCCGTCGGCTTCGTGCACAGGGTCGCGGAGGCGTCCCGAGCGTTCAGACGCCGGCCCGGGCGTCAGTCTCCGGCGGCGACCGGTCGCGTTAGTTTCGAACGGGCTGTCCCGGGGATTGCGTCTAGAGTGTTTGCACGGACACGGGTCGCGCACCGGTGGGGCATGCAAGGTTTGTGCATCTTCCTATGGTTTCTATGTTTTTTGATCACCTGCAATTTTCCAAATTAGGGGTTACGGGGCAGTGGCAGTGGGGTAGGGTTGTTCGGTTGGCCACTGTGCTATTTGGTTTTTTAGTTCACTAATCGCCTCTTCTGCAACTTTCCTTAAAATATGACTAGATAAATGCATTTGTAATATGACTGTATAAATGCATCTACTGGAGCCTACCTCTTTGGTTGAATTTCTCAGTGTTGTTGAAATCATTTGCCCCAACCTTGTCATGCTTTCCCTGACATGTTTCCCACTGCTGCTCTAGCTTCTGTATTGCATCCAAATACTCTTTCTCCCTTTTGGCATTTACAAATGCAATTTGTTAATTCTTCAAATCCTAATTCCTAAGTACACTGCTATGGGGGAACTAATTAGAATATGTTGTCAGGTATTGCGTTATTAATATTGCTCTTAGCTTTAATATGTTGCTTTATTAAATTTGTGTTTAGCATTATTATATTTGCTTAATTGAATTTGCTTTTATCGGCTAAGCTTCGTTATATTTGATTTTAAGAGTTGATTTATAAATGTTTGGTAGTATTAGGCCAGAATTTGCTTTTATTATGTTGCTTTATTAAAATTGTGTGTTTCGCATTTGGTCTTGTAGTTTTAGTTCGCATATAGTCTGGAGTGCACTCGTCTCTACTCACTCCGTGTATCTACTAATTCCAGTTAGATTATGGCATGTGTAGAATGAAGAGTTTGAGGTCGCATTTTGTTTCGTAGTTTATATGCTTCGCTTATATTTTGTAATGCACTATTCTAATGTGGATTAGGGAGTGGAAATGGAGGCTGTTTGAGCGCATGACCATGGCTGTGTGTGGGGGTTAACTTCAATAAACTTGTTTGCATGGTCCTGTTATGTGTTATCTCACATTTATTTTCTAGGTTCTATAGTTTTAGGTCACGTATAGTCTGGAGTGCACTCGTCGCCAATCACTCCGTATATCTACTAATTCCAGTTAGGGTATGTCATGTGTAGAATGAAGAGTTTGAGGTCGCATTTTGCTTTGTAGTTTATATGCTTCGCTTATATTTTGTAAAAGTAGAATTTATAAGCAACGGTGTCAATTTGTTCTTGGCCTATTTTATTAATTTTGGTAATTGGTTAATTTACATTCTTAAACCTTGGATTACGTTTTGTTTTAATAATTCTGGAATTAGTTTTGGGAATTTAGTTACTTGTTGGATCAAAGCTTAATTCCAGTACACTTTCTATGATTTTACATGGCATTAGATGAGACAAGTAATACCTCTGACCTTTGCCACTGTGCTGTTTGATTTTTTAGATCACTAATCTCCTCTTCTGCAGCTTTCCTTAAAATAGTTTCATTTTAAAATAGCACTGCGCGGGTGGACGCCGGCGTGGTTAAAAGCACGGGAGAGACGGGAAGTGCATGGTGGGGGGTTCGGGAATTTTCAGTTGGATGCACCGCTCCGTGTATTGACATCGCGGGACCAGCGAGATGACCAAGGGCTACGGCCGGCTCACCGTGGACTCGTTCGTGGTCCCATTACTGTAAGCATTGATGTGTTATGTATTCGGTAGCTATAGAACATCATAAGGTATTATAAAAGTTATGTAGTTAAAGTTATGCCGTAGCCCGTAAGTCCATAAGTTATTGGTGGTAATTTTAGTCATTTCAGCGGGAGTATTAGGTGTATTATTGTATGTACTTACAGTCTGTATTTTTGCAGGGGAATGCACAGCCGCCTACTAGTCCACGGGGAGAACCGCATGACACCCGGGATGACCCAAGGCTACGCCCGGTTCACCACGGACCCGGTCCTAGTGCCGTTATGGTATGACAACTTAACTAGTGCACTCTTCCTAAGACCCCCTAATACAGTTTTCATTTTATTTTATAAAAAAAAATGCAGACTATAGAATATGTTAAGTTTGTTTTAGTAAGGACCACAGTTAAACCCCATTTTGAAATTGTCGAGAAGGTTGTGCACCCCCGACATTCTGGATTGCACTTGAGCCGTTCTGGAATGCACATCATACCCCATTGTTGCACGCGAATGCAGTCCAAGAAAACAATACACACTCTACTACATCCCAAAACCAAAGTCTACTTATTTTTATTTTATGCCCACTCAGAAACTTGTATGAGGGAATATAAGTTAAACTCAGGGAATATTAGATTTGATTATTTTAGTTAGGGTGAGGTTCAAGTGAGGCTATTGTGTTAGGTGAGGATTGTGGACAAATTTCAACCATCAGATCAGGCCATCTAACACCTGTAAGTGCACAATGGGAGAAATTAAACGGTCTCTAAATAAGGCAATAACATTATTAGTAATTAAGGTTGGGGGTAAAAGTGTAATTGAGAAATTAAATGGACATTAACGTGAAAGGAAAGGAGCAAAAAAATACGGCTTTTGATTTAGGGTTAAAACACCGAATGTGAAGGAGAGGTGTCGGCATTGCATAATCAACTCAAGCAAACCTCTTGCACAACCAAACAAAGCCGTGAAGAACAATCGTGAAGGAGGCTTGCACACCATCGGAATCTATGGTGGACTCAACACCTCAGAGAAATCAAAGGCATGCATCCGTTGAAGCGACAACTAGAATCCGTAAGAATCTGCGCCCAAAATCATTTGTTTTTTAATTTTTTTAATCGCAATGCGCCTGTAATATGCGATTGCATTAACTGGAATTGCATGTTTGTTTGTATTTAGTTTGTTGTTTTGTTGGGATTTTTTTTTTTTTTTTTTTTTGTGAATAAAAAACGCCCCTTCTGGGCGTTGGTGATGTCCGGTGAATGACACTACGTGGGTGTGGCAATGGGTCTGCTAGAACCAAAGATTGACAGTGGGTTTGACAGTGTACAGACAGAGAAGGGGTTTGTGCATGTAGATTACATTTTGTTGTTTTTTTTTTTTATTTTGTGTTTTGAAATTGTTTTGAATAAGAAACATCGAGGAAGAGTCTGGGAAAGTGATTTGTGAATGCAGATTTCGAATTGGTTTTTTGTTTTGGTTTTTTTTTTTTTTTTTTTTTTTTGGGTTTATACTTGTTTTAGAATTAGAAACGACATTCATGGGGGTGGGAATAATGGTCTGTAAGTGATGGGGTGGGATGTGGTGTAACTCTGTCATGGCGGAGAAATGGATGTTAGTGAGGTACGGTAGAGACAAGAATGCACAGATAAGGAGAGAACACTACTTCTATGCTGACTATGCAGTGGAAGAAAAAGGTAGGAAAAAGATAGTGAAAAGAATAATAAAACAGTTTAAATGGATGGATGCACAAATTGGGAAAAAGTATAATGGGCGGACCACACGCTGGCAGTTGGAGACAGAAAATTGGGTTAAGGTTTTACAAATGATTCCAAAAAGTTATGTTGTTTGCTAAATTTGTTGTCATATCAATAAATTGAATAAAAAAAAAAACAGAGGGAACCACCAACTGTAGAAACTTATTTAATACTGGGAAATAAAGTGTTAAATTGGATTGTTGTATGGTGAAGCAGTTTGGTGAGACTAGGAAAATGTGCGATCATATTATTCGTGAGTGCGGGTATAGTGCATGTTAGTACTTTTAATTATTGCAATTCATAACGGTGCATGTGCATTAAATATAATGAATATGTGGAATTCTTACTGTGCATCTGATGAGTTTTAACTGGGTGCATGTATGTAGTATTGGTTGATTGTGTTGATAGATGAGTTATTTGTGCAATAGAATATATTTAGTTAGTAACGTGAAGGCATGTAATGTGCATTAGAATGACTAATGTGTATTGTGATGATAAATTGGAATTGTGCTATTGGTCATGATAGTGCATGATGGTAAATGGACTTGAGTTACTAACTGCAATTATGTTATGTAAGCAGAAAGACATGATAGGTACTTTTCTAGATGATAAGAAAGACCATGACTGGGGAGCGAAAGTACTAATGCTGGATCCAAAAAGAATGCAAATGCGGTGGAGGGATACGGCGAAAAATCTGGATAGTGGGGGTGTATGCGATGAGGCACATGGAGACCTTCATAGGAGAGCGTGATACGAGTTGGGAGTGTGGGCTCAACAAAGGAGACAGATCAATAGTAGAAGCCTTGAGAATGAAGTAAATGAGTGACATACTACTTAGTGAGTGTAATGAGCATCATGCAAAAAACCTCACAAGCTCACCCCTATTCGAGCAGCCTGGCATATTCACGCGATAGATGTAGCCTACTTAGTTAGTGTAACAGCTGAAAAGGATTGCTTTGATGACGTTGTCGAGATTCAAGTGCCTTCAGTAGTTTAAAACTTTTTGCATTATTGTTAATGTCTGTAAGTGGCACAAACTACGTACAGTACCATGCTCCTAATTAATTTTTGAGGTCTAAGACAATTTAAATTTGCTAGTAATTAATTCTCGTTAAAGTTTTGCTAAATGGTTATTCACGCTTAAGAAGTTGTGCATCCATATTTTCAGTACGGATTTGTGCAACGTTGTGTTTTATATGAATGCAATTTTTTTTATGAGTTACCTAACAAAAGGTAATTAACCTTGAAGTTTGTGTTTTTTTAGAAATTTAGGCGACATTATTTGTGCATCCGTAGAGTACTAGAATGTGCAAGTCTGTTTAACTTTCCAGGTACTATTTGTGTCACGTTCTGATTACACATTGTGCAAGTTATAAATTAAACGGCGCAAATTTTAAAATCAACAAACCAAAGCCATTGTTTTAGTATCAAAACAAATAGCAGCAGATTAAGAGTGCATGGAGATATAAAAAAAAAAATGCTAACAACAAAATAAGATTATAATTCCGTTGCTACATCAGGCTTACATTATTTCTTTGCACATCGGGCAGGTACGACTGTTATGGTCGACTGGTCGTACTCCTCACAGGTGTGACATTGTCGTTGACGACGTTTGGACTTCTTGATAGCTAACTCCCTAGTGCTATTGAGGCGTTTAGCACAACCCTAATTATAAATGAAAAAAAAAAAACCATAATTACAAATGAAAACAAAACAAGAAACAAAAAAAAAAAAAAAAAAAAAAACAAACAAACAAACAATTACAGCATGGTAAAACCAAACTGATTGCACAATTAGTACTCCTATACATGCACATTACGTATCAAACACACCGACCACAAAAAAAAACAAATAAATACTATAATTACACAGAAAACACACTGGTAACACCACACAAACCAGAATGTTAAAACCTTTTTAAAAAAAGAAACTTCCTAGTTATAATAAATCATAATTACAAAAAAAAAAAAAAAAAAAAAAAAAAACACACACACACACACACCAACACACCAAAAAAAAAAAAAAGACACAGTTTATATATATATATGAACCCACAATCCCAATAAACAAACGACAATGAATAGATTTAAAAACAATACACAACGCTATAAGACGAATGAAGCCAGCGAAATACAAATGCAGAAAAAAAAACAAAAAAAAAGCTGCACAATACTTATATATTAAAACAAACGAAAACACAAACCTGGAGAATCCATAACACAGAGAATGAAGCACGAATAAATAAAAGGGTCTGTAATCTTGCCAAAACACAAACAAAGAATATCAAAAAGAGGCAGTATATAAAGATGAATGAAGAATATCTTTAATTACCAAATTTAATATCCCTAAAACTATGGCAAATCTGCCGAAAAAAAAAAAAAGAAAGAAAGGAAACAAAAATGCAAAGACTAATGAGCCCCTAGAACAAGATGGCGTGAAAAGGAGAAAAAATAAATCAAAAAATAAACCAAAAAATAAGAGCCATAGATCCAACCAAAATCAAAGGTCAGATTTCGACCACAGACCACATGTAGAAACATGATCTCATATGATCCTTTGTCATTTTAGTTAATAAAATTGTAAATTTAGTACGTCAAGTACGTTTTGTATATGTAGGTTGTGTTGTGCTGAGTTTCATACTCCAAATATGTTAGGTGGTGGAGTAGTAAGTTGTATTATATTTTATTGGGGTGATGACTAAATCTACTATTCCAATTGCTAAAGAATTGGGATAGTAGATTTAATCCCTCAAATTCTTTCTATGTATGTAGGTGTAGTCTATTTAACATTGATAGTTGACTTTTATTTCAATAGACCTTGGCCCTCTGTGTTATGTATACAGTTTATATAACTTTATATACACATTTCTATAGTTCCATTCCAAATGCACTACTTATTTTATAGATTTTAAGCACCCAACAGTGCACACACAAACACACTTGGGAATGCACAAAAATCTAATAGACTTGGGCAAACAAAAATCTTACACCATGCTTCGCCAATTTTATTTTAACTCTTTTCAAAACAGTCAATTAAAAAAAATGTAATATCTTAATTGGAATCTGGCTAATGAAATAAACTGTATAGAATTTTCAAGAGTATATTATTTGTAGTGCACTCCCCACACTCGGGAATGCACGAGTGAGCACCTAACAATGCACAACTACACTGAAGGGTGCACTTCTTATGTTATAGATTTTTAGCACCCTACAGGCCAACAGTGCACATCCAAACACACTTAGGAATGCACAAAAATCTAACAGACCTAGGCAAACAAAAATCTTACACCATGCTTCGCCATCTTCAGTTTTATATATATAGCCACTAACTCTTCTTTGTGGCAGATTGGGACGGTGGTGAGCATCTCAGCCAGTCGAGATGAGAGGGTATCGTGCCGTGTCGTCTGAAATGGTTAATTAAGTGGTATTGCTGGTATAAAGGATGTCATGCAGAATGAGTAGCAAATATAAAGCACGAATCCATTGCAATGCACAATATACTGCACAACTCAAATGAATTAGTAGAATGGACCAAAACTCTAATGGTTTTATTCATAACCAGTGATGACGGCCATAAATATATAAGTCAAATGAATTAGTAGAATGGACCAAAATCTAATGACTTTATTCATAACTAGTAGAATGGACCAAAACTACAATGTCTTTATAAAGCCATTAGAGTTTTGGTCCATTATACTAATTCATTTGAGTTGTGCTGAATATTGTGCATTGCAAAGGGTATCGCTGGCCAAATATTCAGCACAACTCGAATGAATTAGTAGAATGGACCAAAACTCTAATGGCTTTATTCATAACTAGAAATGGGTGGTAAAAGTATATAATTAATAGAATGGATCAATACTACAATGTCTTTACTAATAACCAGAAATGATATTAATAGAATGGCTAACTCTCGTTGGCTTTTAATTCGCTTGCCGGTCCCTTTGTTTTTTTCTTGAGCTGGCGGTTTAATGGTAACGGATGTCGGAGGCTGCACACCACACAAAGCCGCAATGGCAACACCATTCCCGTTACATCACTATACCCGTAAGTTGTACTTCTCCATTAACGATTGCCATTGCGTTTCAAAATCTCCAATATTAGTGGGCTCATTCCACACAATGTTGTTAAGCTTTTTGGGGAAACTCTGATCTTTTTCTAATTCAGCCCCCAGCTTCTCACTAACTTTGGTCATCATATGCCACATGCAGTAACGGTGGCGGCACTTCGACAATACCCGTGCAATAGCGATCTTCATAGTCGGGTCTTGATCAATTACGACGCACAAGGGACTCTTTCCCGTTGCTGTTTTAAATCTCTCGAGAACCCACATGTATGAGTCAGTGTCTTCTCGAGTCAGCAATGTAACACCCCCTAAAAACATGCTATTTTAAAGCCTTAAACATGCAGATAACTGAACCAAACAACGAACACAGCGGAAGATGGAAAGATAGATGTATATAAATAAACTGGAATACGGGGTGCTATGCCACGTTCACCAAGAGATGAACGCACATGCAACATCTGCAATGTTTAAATCTAAACCAAATATCTCACTGTTCTACATCTAAGCTGGCTCACAGGCCATAAAACATAAGGGAGAAGCTATACTAGCAAGCACTAGACCGCGCACTCGTCTAGAGATCACCTGAAAGAACACAATAAAACACGGGACAACGCCCGGTCAGCGAATAATGCTGGTAACCCACCAATACTTGTGAAATAACATACATAGGTAAGATATAAGTTGTAAAGCCATTTTCGAAACGGAATACATATATATAAGTCAAAAACAAAGAGTAATGATCAACACAAAACTCAACACTCTCAACAAGAACACGGGAACACATCCCAAGACCACAAAGAACAGCATGACTCACAAGAAGTCTCAAGGTATGGTCTATCATCACACAATAAACCAACACCCGACATGTGACACCCCCAAAATCCACATTCAATCCATGGATTAATTGAGTAATTAATCCTATTTTTATTTGAGGAATTAATACCTAAAATCCTGATTTTTAATACTCAAGGACTAGAATTTGACTAGTCAACCATTAAGTTGAGTGATGGGTCCACGTTTTTGGGGGATAACATGTGTTATCCGGGCATGTGTTGCCGTGATTGGTGGTTTTCGTTGGTGGTTGTTGGTGGGGGACGACGGTCCCGGGGGAATAAGGTTGGACTAAGAAGTACAGGGGTCCTGGAGGTAATGGTTGGAAAGAAGGTACAAGGTTGAGGGTAGCCATAAGGTGGGAACAGGGCATACCAACTCGTGATGGGTGATGTTGCGAGGGCTTGTAAAGTCGGCGTTGTGTGATCTTTTCTCGTGACATGTGTACAAGGAAGGCATACCAAGGAACAGGGCATACCAACTCGTGACGACAGTCCCGGGGGAATAAGGTTGGACTAAGAAGTACAGGGGTCCTGGAGGTAATGTTTGGAAAGAAGGTACAAGGAAGGCATACCAACTCGTGATGGGTGATGTTGCGAGGGCTTGTAAAGCCGGCGTTGTGTGATCTTCTCTCGTGACGTGTGTAGTCACGGAGGCTTGTGTTGTTTTGGCATGTGTTGCCGTTGGGTGAGTCTTTATCCTTGCGTGTGGTTAACCTTTGTGGTTTGGGATGTGTTCCCGTGTTATCCTTTAGAGTGATGAGTCTTGTGTTGATAGTTGATCTTGGTTTTGACTTATATATATGTATTCCGTTTCGAAAATGGTTTTTATGACTTATATCTATCTATATATGATACTTAACGGTATTGGTGGGTTACCAGCATTATTCGCCGACCGGGCGTCGTCCCAATGTTTATCTTTGTATCTTTCAGGTGATGTTTAGACGAGCGCGATGTCTAGAGCCTGGTAGCTTAGTACATTTATCCTTGCTTTTGTGGCCTGTGCGCCAATGTAGTTAGACTGATGTTTTGGGATAGATGTACACACTTGCAGATTGTTTGCCGTAGCGTTTACCGTGTTTGGTAGACGTGGCGTGACACCCCGTTGGATTTCTTTTATCCAGTTTCGTTTTTATCTTCCGCTGTGCTAGTTTTGTCGCTTAATCTGCA